TTATTTTCACATTTTTAGATACAAGGGAGTGAGTCTCATATAATTCACTCATTACCTTATTTTCACATTTTTAGATACAAGGGAGTGAGTCTCATATGCATTTATTAATATATATCTCACTGTCTTGTGTTTAAGAGTCATAAAAATGGAATAATAAAAATGCATTATGTATATCATTACTCCATTAATAATTGGGATAATAATAAATCAGTAATATTTTTAAAAAATAATTACATATTCATGATAAATTTTATAAATTTTAATGATTAAAGTAATATTTTTTTTTTTAATATCAAATCTATATATACACATATAAGTCATAAATTTTTTCATGAATCTATAATTATTTTGAAAAATAATCGCTTACTTGCAATTTACCCTAAATAATTTTTGATTGTCATGGCGGCTATGAACAGGTGAATATATAGTCTAGTCTTTTTGTGGTGGCAGTTTTTTATTGTGTTCGTAGTCCTGAATAGGTGAGCTGTTTTGCTTCATTTTTTGCTGTGTCTGGTAGTTTTGTATAGGATCTGTTAGGACCTGGGGCATGTTCCTTGTATTTGTGTATCCTCTTGTCTTATTTATTTATGACTTATTCACTTCAAAAAAAAAAAAAAAATTCTAAATAATTTGGATTTCTCCAATTGTTTTGGGAATATTTGGATGCTTTATCTAGATTGGTTATTGATCTCTTTTTTTGTGTCTATATAAGCAATAGGCTCAGGCTACAGGCTACAGGCTCAGGCTACGTGGACTAGGAAAACCAAAATGAGACATCAATAAAATGTTTATATCGTATTTATATTTTGAGTAAATTACATTGATATTTTTTTAAGTTAGAAAAAATATAAGTAATTTTATAATTTTGATATAATCATATTGATATCTCTTTTAGTAAGGTTAAATGTACTGAAACTAATACATATAGTATGAAAATGCTAGGAGAAACCTCAAATAATAAATATTTTAGCGTAAAATAATGATCATATCCTTTTTTTTTATTATTCATATGACTAATAAATTGTTGATGATTTTTTTTTTTTTTCTCATTCATGTGACTAACAAACTATTGATGAAAAGAGAAATAAGTGTTACGTAAATTAAAATATTAAAGGAACATATTTTGAGAATTTGTGTTAAATAATTTGATGTAACTTCTAATTATAATTTATTAAGCAAAAATATTTCAAGAATAATTTGTGAGAGTGTATTGAAAGTAAATTATATATTTAAATAATTTGAAGAGAATATGAGAAATTAGGCATACTAATTAATGTTTTGGACGTAAATAAAATCTCCCCGAATACTACTGGCTTAATGATACTTTATTTATTTATATGTTATGTTTAGATGTTATATTTGTAAACATATATATATATATATATATATATATGTTTACAAATATAACATCTAAACATAACATATAAATAAATAAAGTATCATTAAGCCAGTAGTATTCGGGGAGATTTTATTTACGTCCAAAACATTAATTAGTATGCCTAATTTCTCATATTCTCTTCAAATTATTTAAATATATAATTTACTTTCAATACACTCTCACAAATTATTCTTGAATAATGTAATGTTTAATTTTATGGCACATCCAAATAATAACCTTAATATCAAATCAATTCAAAAAAACTCTTCATTTTCTCTTCTCAGCCACAATATCTTCATCTCAGTCATTTTCAGACATGTCTCAACCACATATCATCTTCTCAATTTTTTCATTGCGAATTACTGCAAAAGAAGCACATTGGGTTCAAGTTGAGAAGGAAAATATGATGAATTTTCGTCATGACTTTCAGATCCGAACAAGATTATTTTGTTCGGACTTGCAATGCCGAACAAAGTGAATTTATTCAGATTTAAAAGTCCGAAAATATTGACGAAAAATAGGTTGAATATTCATTTTTACGTAAAAAAAAACACAAAAATCAAGAATTGAACTGTGATATTTAAGTGAATACTTGTCTCCTCTTTCATTTTTTTTTTTTAGAAAACAATTTTAATTATTATTCTCATCTATTGTTTGATTTTGTTCGATTTTTTTTTCTATTTGCAAGAACAACACAATCAGAAATTGATGATAATGGTGAGTTTTGGTAAGGTTTATTAGAGTTTTGGAGTGAGGAAGAAAAAAAAAGGAAAATAATTGAAAGTCGAGGAAGAAAATGAAGAGACATAAATATGAACAATACATAAAAGTAATCAAGGGTGTACCACGAGAAAAAAATAATATTTTATTTTAGATTAATATGTATTGTCTTTATTGATAAATTTATATTAAAATATAATAGGAACTAAAATTTTTAATTTTTAATTGGACATACTAAGTTATTGTTGAGGTGCAAATAGAATCATCCTATTCTGGGTCGAGCAACTTAAGCCCCAATAGGCCATAAATTGGGCTCCCTTGCCCTCTGGTTATTGGGTCATGGGAATGGGCTGACTGGGTAAGATAAAGCGTTGGGTAAATAGATGCACATGTATATGTAAAATCAAAGGTTGTTGTCACACCGTTTGGTAAAATTTATAGTTTTTCATTTATTGAAATATATAATATGTATTTATATTTATTTTTGATAAAAATAAAAACAAAAACATTTAAACAAAAATATTTTTAAAGACTTTGTTTTGAAAATAAGTAAAGCGGGTGATGAGCAACAAAAGATTAGTGACGACAACTGAAGGTAGAGACGGTGTGCGAAGATAATTGATGGCCGAAAGAGTGATTGATTAATTAAGCCAAAATAAAATAATCAATTAAGATAGTGAGATTAGCAATAGCATGCCTTGGTGGTACTATAGACTACTAGTGTCATACAAGTCCGGTAGCAGACTAGCTACCAATGCTCAACTTTGATCATTTAACTAGGGGAAATTCTTAGTATGCACGTTCTCTTATATATGATGAAAAGAAAGTTTTGAAGTTTTACAGTAGTGAATGTTATGAATTTTTATCGTGTTAATTATAAATTAATGTGGTGTAATTATGAAAGAGAATTAGTTATGATTTTTTATAATTCTTTTGTAATTTTTTGTGGTGAACAAATTTATGTGTGAAAATTATGTCAGTTTATGATTAATATTATGAATTTTTGTTGTGTAATTACGAAAAGAGACACCATATATATCATTTTAAAGATGTTTATTGTAGCCTTTCCCTTTGTAACGGCCAATAAAAAAAGAATATATAACTTACAAAGCATATTGTGTACATTTATGTAAAGGCATTTATCTTCACTGTTGTGATCGATGCATCAATATTAATGTATTTTATTTTTATTTTTATTTTATTTTTGCGTGCAAACATTTGACAAAGTGAGGAATCTTCTGTTCTCTAAGTTTCGTGGAGGAGTGGCTCTGATGAATTTAGTAAAAATCTCACAATGAAAGATACATATAATATGGTCAAACCCAAACCAATGGACAAGCTTCCATCAAATATTTGATGACTATATGCAGTGGCATTGCTTTCATTTCCTTTGTCATCTTTTATATTTGAGAGATATGATTCCCCCATCATATCTCTTTTCTTTTCTTTTCTTTTCTTTTTTTATTTCCTTTTTTTTAATAAATAAATAAATAAATAAAAAACTAGCATGCTGGGGCAGTTGGTTGTAAATTAATATTGAAATTGGATTATTTGACATTTGGACCTTAATTTTATTCTTCAGTCCTCCTCCTGGACCATCAGATTTGGTGTTTACTACTTTGCCCCTATTCCAATGTCCCCTCCTTTCTCTCATATTTGATATATATATATATATATATAATTGCTAAGGTGTCAGTATCAGCGTTTCCATGAGCCGTAAGGTGAGGGTGCTGTGGTGTGGCAGCCATCGTGTATGCATCCCATGGTCTTAGTATGCATATCTGTCTTCTACAATAATGGTTATGTTTCGATCGACATTAGATTGTATCAGTTGATATATATGTGTAAGTCTAAAATTCAGATGGGTATTAATAGCCGATATATAAAATCTTGATGCATATAGGTTGCTTGAGCACACTGTGTTCGTCATCATGCTGCACACACTGACAATGTGGATGGCTATCTTCCAACTTCCAAGGTTCATACACTTTCTGATTCCACAGTTTGTTCCAACCCTTCCTTACTGGTCTGTCCAAAATAATTGCTAACAAAAAAAATACATTAGCCAATTTTCAAGAATTGATCACACCATCACCGTGTTGTCACTGAGTGAAACTGATCACTATTTTTTTGTTATATAGTACACAAATAGTTTGATTAATTAACCAAACATCAACACCACACTTTGTACGATCATTACATAATTAACTACATAAATTTTGGCAAAAATAGTTATAGACTGGAAAATCAGGAGAAAAAACTGTTTACGTATAACATTATTCTCATAGTTTTTTTTGGGAGGGGGAGAGGGGGTGTTCAATCAGTAAGAGGTTACAAATATGAGAAAAATTACATCAAACTAGATAATAAAAATTCTACAACAAACTACAAACAACATGCCAAGCCAAACAATCACCAGAAATAACCCAAATTAGGGAAGAAATAAACTATATACAATCCCATACTATGGAGAGAAATAATCAATTTTTTGTCATTGGCAAGGAGTGACTCCCTGATCTACCAGATAGAATTGTACAAAGCCCAATTGGTTTAACATTATTCTTAAGAGTTTAGAGAGTTTTTTTTACATTCGACATAATAAATCATATAGGGAAGAGAATCAAGTCCTCTAATTTTCTTGACATGCAAAAGAATATAAGGGAAGCCTCAAGCAAAGGATCAAACTCTCTTAACCAACCTCAACATCCCGTCTTGCAGTCGACATTGCTTGCACACCCCTCCACTTGATCTGATTTGACTGTATTATTATTCAACACAAGCTCTTGTCTTCTATTCACCTCCAAAATATCTCTGATGTGGGTGATGATCATATAATATTGCTTAAACAGATGCAGCATCACTATCCAAACTAATAAGAAACCAACATGAAGATGGTTATTTTTGATATACTTTTTACATGACTAAACAAATTTGTATAAATTTAATAATTTTAACTTCTTCCCAAATCAGGCATTTAATGGTTTATCGGCCAAAAACGTTGCTATCACTATGTCTATACATATTATATATTAAAGATATAGTAAGTGTGACCCTCCTGTACTCATGGTCTTAGGCGAGCACTTACCCGGCCTACTCCTCGAGCCAACAGTGACTGTCTTTTATTATGATTTTACTAACCTCCGAAATATGTTCAATGTGAGGTGATGTAATATTGCTTAAAGAATGCTGCATCGCTGTACAAACTAATTTGAAGAAGATGGTTGTTTTAGTATACTTTTACATGAATAAACAAATTTGCATAGATCTTATAATTTTAACTTGCCATCCAAATCAGACATTTAATGGTTACCAATAACGTAACTACCATGATATGGGGAATTAGCTGCCAATGCCATCATGCGGTCTCCAGAAAATCAGAATGAGCGTTGCCTAGATACTGAATTAAGATTTAAAGAATGAGAAAATGATGAATTAAATTTTAGTAAAGATGAATGCCTCATGTTATTCTTATTGTTTGACTACTGTAGCAGAGTGTTTCTCATATAGGGTGATGCATATATCTGTCCAATTAATTAAACAAATGCTGTGCATCATTTCCATCATCAAGCTCATCAATAAACAAGTCAATTAATGATTTGAGGTTGAAATGTGCACTGTAGATGTGCAACAAAGTATGAAGGCTTTGGCTTCACCTATTTATTTGACACAAAAAAGCGGCCATTCTTACAATGTGCACTCTTTACGGGTGCATATCATAGATTTTCCCTTTTGTTTATAAAGAGGTTGTGTGGCTAGCTTGGATACCAGGGGCAGGAGAACTTTGTATTTTGAGTCTTGCACCTCAGACTCAGTGTGGAAAGGTAGTAAACAAACCTTTGATATGTAGAGTTTTAATAAGTGAATGAATTTAAATGTTTCACTGCAAAACACCACATTATTATGACTATATGAAAATTCAACTTCTTTATACTATCCATTTTTTTAACTAAAACTCACACTGCTTGGTGAGTTGTAACGTTTATGGGACTTCTGATACCAGTTTATATTTCACTCAATCCTTCATTTTATTGCAGTTAACTAATATTTGCCAACTCTAGTTTTTGTGACTGAGGGTTTAACTTACGAATGCAAATTGCAAGAATTGAGCTATAACAACATGTTAAATTATCACCATTCCCAAAAGCTTAAGATGTCAGGACTAAAGCTAAACAATTGATATTAAGCCTATCCATCAGAACTGCCAGCCACTTCCCTTGTATTGTAAGTTTCTCGAGTTTCCAAAGTGGCTATAAAGTTGGATTGTTTTCTTTTTTAATTACTCAGGTTTGTTTGGGAATGATATGAATCTTTTGAATTTCCATGATCTTCTATAATTGTTTATCCCTATCATGATGGTCCTATGTAGCTCATCTCCATCCAATCCAATCCAGTCAAATCCAATGTATTTCCTCTTTTGTTTCTTGCATCTGCTTGTTTCATTCATTAAAAGTTTTTTTGTGTGGCTTTTAATGACAAAGCTAGCTACTACCTTTGTGGGATATCTGTGCAGGCTGTGAGGAATAAATTTGAAGCAGCACCCTGAATTTCAAGTTAAATTTCTTGCTCCATTCATCTTCTATTTACTTCAGATTATTTGAATTTGAAGAAAAATAACCATACTAAAATCAAGGAGTAACTCTGTTTCATTAATGTTTTTTTCATTTCAATGAACTCAAGAAGCATTCTTGGCTGAAGTACTCATTCATATTCAGATATCTTTAGAATTGAGTTTCTTCTTTCTTAGTAATCTTTCAAAGCTCTACAGTTTTAAAGCTATGTTTGAATCATGAACTTAAGTGGGTTTTGTGGAGGGAAATGAAAAGTGAATGAAATATAATAAGCTAACAAAATTTCTATCTTCTCCCCCCTAATTTTTGTTTCCCACTTTTCTCTTCTATTTTCATTTCTCTTAGCAAATCCCTCCCTGAATCCATGATCCAAACATAGCTTAAAAGTAGGTTGTTGATTCAGATAGCCACTTTTCTTTCACAGCTGTGATTCAAGATATCCAAGGTAGTGACAGCTACCAGTTGGAGAACAAGTACACAAGTCGTCAACAACATGACCATGAGAGTGGCTTCAATGAAAATACAAATACAGTGAAGACCTCAGCATCGGCACAACATTCACCACCAGGGATGGAGAGAGAGAAAACCACGAAAAATTCTAGTGGCAGTATACAAGATTTAGACAAGATCCAAAAGGAAAAGGAAGTCACCAATACTGTTCCATTATACGAGCTGTTCTCCTTTGCGGACTTCACTGACTATGTATTAATGCTTGTGGGAACAATGGCTGCTATTGGAAATGGCATCTGCATGCCTCTTACGTCTGTGCTATTGGGAGAGTTAATTGATTCCTTCGGACAAACTGTGAACACCAAACAAGTGGTCCATCAAGTTTCCAAGGTAACACATAGCTTAAAACAAAATCGTTGCTAATTTTTTGGAACTCTAGTCAATCAAGTTTATGTGTTTGGCTTGCTGCTAACATATAAACCTATCTTCAGGTATCTCTCAAGTATGTTTACTTGGCCCTGGGGTCGGGTTTTGCATCATTTTTCCGTAAGTGCTTTGGATTTTGTGCCAACGTCTAATCTAGTATATCATAATTACATAGTGTATATAGCTGTTTAAACCAAACCAAGAGAAACTGAGAAACTTATATTTGTTATGGAAAGAGGTGGCATGTTGGATGGTCACAGGGGAAAGACAATCTGCGCGTATTAGAAGTTTATACTTGAGAACTATATTGAGACAAGAAATTGGATATTTTGACAAGGAAACTACCATTGGAGAAATCATTAGTAGGATGTCAGGGGATACCTTTCTCATTCAGGATGCCATGGGTGAAAAGGTTTGCTTAAGACACTGAAGACCAAAATTATTAGCATTAATCTATTATTACAAAAATCGAAATGATACTCTTCTCCTCTCCTTACATGTATTTGCTACAGGTTGGAAAGTTCATACAGCTGGTAGCTTCATTCTTGGGAGGCTTTGTACTAGCCTTGATCAAGGGATGGCTTCTCACCCTTGTCTTGCTATCTTCAGTTCCACCTATTATCATCTCTACTGGCATCATGATGATTATTAGAGCAAAGATGACATCCCGTGGACAAATAGCATATTCTTTAGCAGGAACTGTGGCTGAACAGACAATTGGCTCAATTAGAACTGTAAGTAGAGTTGCTTGAGAAGAATCTAGCATCTCCCCTCTCTCTCTCTCTCTCTCTCTCCCTCCTATTATGGAATTATGTTATTATGAAATTATGTTCATGATGATAAACTTCCCCATTCAGGTTGCATCATTTACAGGGGAGAGGCAAGCTATAAATAAATACAAGAAGTCTCTTCTTAAAGCTTACAAATCTGGTGTGCAAGCGGGCTTGGCTCTTGGTTTGGGTACTGGTGTATTTATGTTTCTTTGGTGCAGCAGTTATGCTTTGGCAGTTTGGTATGGTGCTAAAATGATAATAGACAAGGGCTATACAGGAGGACGAGTAATGATTGTCATTTCTGCTGTGTTGACTGGTTCTTTGTGAGTTGGATTTCGAAAGTGTTCTAGTATTCACTATCGTTTCTCTGTTAGGTCAGTCCCCCCCCTCTTTTTTTTTTTAATTCTCTCTTTTTTCCTTCGCTCTTTTTTTTTTCCCTTGTCACTCACCAATGTGATCTGTTGTGCTTGGAAAATTGATCTTTTGTTATATATTTATGCATCCATTGCATGAATGTGACATTGATTCTTGGAGAAAGATTACAATACTTGCATACCATTTCGATTTTTGCAGTTCTGCGGGGCATGTATCACCCTGCCTCAGTGCATTTGCCTCTGGACAAGCTGCAGCTTTCAAAATGATTGAGACCATTAATAGGAAGTCAGAGATAGATCCTTACGACACCAATGGACAGAAATTGGATGATATCTGTGGGGATATTGAGTTAAGGGATGTCTATTTTAGTTATCCGGCAAGACAAAATGAGCTTATTTTCAGTGGATTCTCTCTCTCAATACCAAGGGGAACAACTGTTGCTTTGGTTGGACAAAGTGGAAGTGGAAAGTCAACAGTCATCAACTTGATTGAAAGGTTTTATGATCCTCAAGCTGGTGAAGTTCTTATAGATGGTATCAATGTTAAGGAGTTTCAGCTTAGATGGATCAGAGGAAAAATTGGTCTCGTTAGCCAGGAACCTGTGTTGTTCACTTCAAGCATTAGAGATAATATAGCATACGGAAAGGATGGAGCAACCATTGAAGAAATTAAAGTTGCTACTGAGCTTGCCAATGCTGCTAAGTTCATTGATAAACTACCCCAGGTCTATAAAAATAAATTCAATCTAGAACATTGAGTTGTAAATTCATGATCCATGAGAAAGGACTTAAATTAAAAATTAGCTCCCCTAAACAGGATTTTTTTTTCACCTTTTTTGGTTATTTGAAAAATAAAATAAAATAAAAAATCTCTTTCACCTTTCTGGCTTTCTGTTTAATGTATTCAGGGACTAGACACAATGGTTGGTGAGCATGGAATTCAAATGTCTGGGGGTCAGAAGCAGAGAATTGCTATAGCAAGAGCTATTTTGAAAGACCCCAGGATTCTACTTCTTGATGAAGCTACAAGTGCTCTTGATGCCGAATCTGAAAAGATTGTGCAAGAGGCATTGGAAAGGGTTATGATCAACCGAACAACCATCATTGTAGCCCATCGCTTAGGGACAGTGAAGAATGCAGACATGATTGCTGTAATTCATCGAGGAAAAGTTGTTGAAAAAGGTTTTTTTTCTTTCTTCCTGGTATTATCTTAATAGTTGCAGCACTACAGGTGCCTGGCCTTTGTAACCTTGTTACATGTGCTAATGGTAATCCCTTTTAACTCATCAGGTTTGCACTCTGAGTTAGTACAGGATCCAGAAGGAGCATTTTGCCAGCTTTTACGCTTGCAAGAACTTAGCAAAGACTCAGAACAAAAAAATGCAGATGATTGGGATGGACCAGAAATCATTGTGGATTCTGGAAGACATTCAAGTCAGCAAGTGTCCTTGAGATCCTTAAGTCAAGGTTCATCTGGAATTGGCAACAGTAGCCGCCACTCATTCTCCATTTCATTTGGTGTACCCACTGCAATCAACTTCCTCGAGACAACAACTGCAGAACCCACAACTCCTGCTTCAGCAACATTGCAGGCGGTGGTCCCACAAGTCCCACTTTGCCGGTTGGCCTATCTGAACAAGCCAGAAATCCCAATATTGATTATAGGTTCAGCTGCTGCAGTGATCCATGGTTTAATAATGCCAATTTTTGGACTACTTCTTGCCAGCATAATCAAAATCTTTTACAAGCCACCTCCTGAGCTTCGAAAGGATTCAAAATTCTGGGCATCAATGTTTCTTGTGCTTGGTGTGGCAACTTTATTGGCAACACCGGTAAGAACATACTTTTTTTCTATGGCAGGATGTAGGTTAATAAAACGTATTCGATTAATGTGCTTTGAGAAACTGGTTCACATGGAGACAAACTGGTTTGACGAAGCAGAGCACTCAAGTGGTAAAATCAGTGCAAGGCTTTCTGGGGATGCTACCCTTGTGACAAATTTGGTTGGAGACTCACTTGCTTTGATTGTTCAGAATGCTGCAACAGCAATTGCTGGCTTGGTTATTGCTTTCCAAGCAAACTGGCTACTGGCTCTTATTATTCTAGTCACGGTGCCTCTAATAGGACTTAATGGATACATGCAGGCGAAGTTCTTGAGTGGATTCAGTGCTGATGCAAAGGTTAGCTCCAAACTCTCAACAGTGCAATATTATTATCTACATGTTAAATCCAATTAGACCAACTTGACTAACGACCAAAGCTGTAAATGCACTCCCAGAAATCATTCGAGGATGCAAGTCAGGTTGCTGGTGATGCAGTTGGGAGTATTAGAACAATTGCTTCTTTCTCTGCTGAAGAGAAGGTGATGCAGCTGTACCAAATGAAATGTGAAGGCCCAATGAAGGCAGGAATAAGACAAGGTTTAGTTTGCGGGGCAGGTCTTGGGTTCGCCATTTTCTCACTGTTTTTAGTCTACGCAGCCTGTTTTTATGCTGGAGCTCGACTTGTTGAGGCTGGCAAGATGGACTTTGCTGCAGTTTTTCGAGTAAAGCCTTTTACAATCTCTTGTATCAAGTCAGTTACACATATTATTGTTCCAGATTTGCAACATCGAGTATTTTGTGATACTTGAATAGACAAATTGGTTTTATGGTTCATGGCTTCTCTTTAATTGTTAATCTTGGCTTCTTCATCTTGGTTTGCAGGTTTTCTTTGGTCTCACTATGACAACCTTGAGTATATCGCAATCCGTGGCCCTTGCTCCGGATTTAAGTAGAGCTAAGAGTGCTGCTGCTTCTATCCTTGCTATTCTAGATCAGAAATCAAAAATAGACTCAAGTGATGACTCCGGAACAACATTAGAAAATGTATGGGGAGACATTGAGTTTCAGCATATCAGTTTCAAGTATGCCACTAGACCTAATATTCAAATTTTTAGGGATCTTTGCTTGACCATTTCCTCTAACAAGGTAACTTGTCATAATTGATTTTCATATCCAGTATGTACCTCTCTTAAGTTCCAGATGTTGATAAGTTTTCAAATTTGAATATCAAAAATTGACAATGCAAATTTCATTTTATCAGACTGTTGCCCTGGTTGGAGAAAGTGGATGCGGGAAGTCAACAATAATATCTTTGTTGCAAAGATTTTATGATCCTAATTCGGGTCAGATTACCCTAGATGGAGTTGAAATCAAAAGGCTTAAGTTAAAATGGTTAAGACAACAGATGGGGCTGGTTAGCCAGGAACCTGTCTTATTCAATGAAACCATACGAGCCAACATTTCGTATGGAAAGGCAAGCAGTGCAACGGAGGCAGAAATTATAGCTGCAGCAGAATTGGCAAATGCTCACAAGTTCATTAGTGGTTTACAACAGGTTAAATCCCTACATACCTTCAATCCTAACTAGTTGTTGAACTTCTAGAGATCGCAAACTTAACTTGAAATTGTAAATCTGCACAATGTTATCTGTTTAAACCTATCCATATCCATATCCATATCCATAAATGAGTTTAAATGGGTTAATCTTGTGTACCCATTTAAAATTGAGTTTCAATGAGTTGAAATGGGTACCCATTGTGTTCAGGTAAAAAAGAAGCAAGGAAGCCACCACCAACACCACTAGCAGCACTACCACCCCACCACTACCTCCACCACTAAGGAGCAGCACCACACCACTACATCTTCCTTTATGACCACTACCTCCTCCTCCACCACCACGACGCCACTACCCCACCTCCTCCATCTCCACCACTACCATGACCTCCACCCGACCACCATCAGCACCTCCTCATAAAGTAAACATGTTGATTTGTCCAACCCCTACCCAATTCAACCTAACCTACTTAAATCCATTTATTAAATGGGCAAATTTGGGCTGGATTGTATTAATGCATAACCAGTATTGACTTGCTTGTTTTCTACCTAAACTTAGGTGACATGTGAGTCAACTGAATAATTTGATCTCCAAGATTTTGAATTGCAGGGGTATGACACGGTCGTTGGAGAGCGAGGGATCCAGTTGTCTGGCGGGCAAAAGCAGCGAGTGGCGATTGCCCGTGCTATAGTGAAATCTCCAAGGATATTACTACTGGATGAGGCTACCAGTGCTCTTGATGCTGAGTCTGAGAAGGAGGTTCAAGATGCATTAGATAGAGTTATGGTGGACAGAACCACAGTGGTGGTGGCTCATAGGCTATCCACAATTATAGATGCAGATTTAATAGCTGTGGTTAAAAATGGAGTCATTGCAGAGAAAGGAAAGCATGATACCTTGATGAATATCAATGATGGAATTTATGCCTCTTTGGTAGCCCTACACACAAGTGCTTCATCATAGAAAGCTACTTTTGTATTACTCTGTCCATGTTTTTAAGAAAGAAGTATCCCATTAGTATAAGATGGGCTTAATGACTAAGATCATTCCTATTTTCGCTATTGTGTGCATTTTTCTTTTTAAGTATCATGTGATTGTAATGTGAGTTTTCTTTCAAAACACATGGAAGAAAAGGTTTTTGTATTAGTCTTTAACTTGAAGAACACAGTTCACTGTAAGTTGTTACAACTTAAATTGCTAGCATTCTAGACTAATTTTCATGTACTATTTAAGAACAAACAATTTTTGGAAAAAAACAAGTTTTTGTTTAGAGTTTAACCCCAAAAAAAAAATGAAAATAAAAACAAAAAACAGAAAACAGAAGTGTTACCAAATAAATTTTGGGTTAATTTTACTTCTATCCCTTAAACTATCATAACTTTTCAATTTCATTATTAAACTACCAATTTCATTTATTTTACTACATTAGAGTTTCTAAATTAAGCTAATGTGGTCTAGTTGGAGAGGTTGTCCAAAATCAGTAACCTTTAAAACCTAATTTGATGGGTAAGAAATATAATTTCAAAATTTAAATAATTTCAGCCATAAATCCAAACATTCATTTTTCTTTCTCCTTAGATTGAAATGAGAGAGAATGGGTGTTTTGTTGTAGAGTATAAGTTGTTCAATGGGTTGGGCTTGTCTCCAAACCATTGTGGACTAGACCAGTTCAATTTGGGCAGTGGACTCACTACAGGCCTTAATGTGATGATTTGATCCGTTAAATTTTTTTGCTTTGGTGTGCAGATTAATATGATTTTTTTTTGGGTGCATGGATGATCTATACATTGAAGCCGATTTTTTTTTTTGCTTTGGTGTGTAGATTAATATAATTTTTTTTTTTTTGGGTGCGTGGATGATCTATACATTGAAGCCGAAAAAATTAACAGATCAAATCATCAAAAGTGAGACTGTAGTATGGCTGCCAGCCTGAACTGGACAGAATTCTTGTTTAATATATAGTGCGAGTAAAATGACATGTATTTGGTTGTAGAATTTAGATTCTCCAAATTGTAAAAATGCCTTGTATTCTTCTGGGAATTGCAGTAGCCATTATAATGATGACCTGTGAGTAGCTCCCACATTGTGATTGATGCATCGATATTATATTACGTATGTACCCGTAGTTATATTCATGTATTTTTATTTATTTTTGCTAGAGTATTTGACAAACTCAAGCATTGTCTGTTCTCTTATTCTATTGCAGTTGGAGCAACTGAATTACCAAGTCAAAATCACAACCGAAAATGATACTGGCAAACATGCAAACCAATAGGGAAACTTCCAACATTGAGTATGCATTGACCTGAAGCATTTAGCCTGTCTGCTAGTGTTTGATATTGATAAGAAACATACAGAAACAAAAGAAACAAAGGATGATTTGGGAATGTAATCAATGACATTGCTGATTATAGATGGAATCAAAGAGAGATAGAGAAAGAGCCAATAATTGGATTAAAATTTTTTAACTTTTTCAAAGGAAAAAGCTGAGAAAATAAAACTTATTATTAGATATTCATTCTTCACCGTTAGAGTTTTGAAATCAGAGTGGCACAGCTATAGGCTACAAATGTTAATTTTGATTGAGAACCAAACTTAATATCAGATATTCAATAAGGGTTAGAGTATTCAAATCAAAAGCCCTAATGTAAATGAAGTTTAGAGTTAGAAACAAACCTGAGCTACAGAAAAGATCTCTTGGAAAGGTTCGATTAGAATGGAAGCAACTAGTTCTTGACGTCGAGAGAGAGAGATTGTGAAGAAGATGTCAACACTGAGAGAACGGTGGCCCTGACTCCGACAGGGCTGGTGGTCTTCGGCAATGGCTGAAGCTTCAGCTATGGCGGAAGAGAAGAGGGAGAAGAGAAGAGCAAGAGCAAGAGAGGGAGGCCAACTGACTTGGGACCCCTTGACTGACCCCTTGACTGATTTCCTTTGCCCTCTTTTTGGTAACTGGTTACACTGATTTCCTTTGCCCTCTTTCTCTCTGTCTCTCTCTTTTAGTACTAAAAAAGTAGCATACTGGTGATTATGGGGTAGTTGTTATTAATATTTAATTTCTGCGCATTCATTTTGGACCTTAATTTTACTCTTATTCCTGGACTACTAGATTTCCAATGTCCTGTCCCATATCTAAGTATTATCATTTCCATAAGCCATAAGGTGCTGACCATTGTGTATGCACGCTTGTTGGTGTAGGAGGCGTGTTAAAATAACAGTATCAGATATGTGTTGGTGTAGGAGGCGCGTTTAAATAACAGTATCAGATATGGGGTGATGCTATGGTACATTTAGATGTACCATACATCAGTTATGAGGTTATGTGATTTTATAATATAACCAATATCATATAGATCATAACCATTATCATATTAACTCATAACTTTGTTATATTTAGTTATTCATATATACCATATTATCTCATAACTACCTCATAACTAAATTATTTTAATAATTTAATTTTGAATTGGCAACCGGTGTAACCAGTTACCAAAAAGAGGGCAAAGGAAATCAGTCAAGGGGTCAGTCGAGGGGTCCCAAGTCAGTTAGCCTCCCTCTCTTGCTCTTGCTTTTCTCTTCTCCCTCTTCTCTTCCGCCATAGCTGAAGCTTCAGCCATTGCCGAAGACCACCAGCCCCGTCGGAGTCGGGGCCACCGTTCTCTCAGCGTTGACATCTTCTTCACAATCTCTCTCTCTCGACGTCAAGAACTAGTTGCTTCCATTCTAATCGAATCTTTCCAAGAGATCTTTTCTGTAGCTCAGGTTTGTTTCTAACTCTAAACTTCATTTACATTAGGGCTTTTGATTTGAAAATCCTAACCCTTATTGAATATCTGATATTAAGTTTGGTTCTCAATCAAAATTAACATTTGTAGCCTATAGCTGTGCCACTCTGATTTCAAAACTCTAACGGTGAAGAATGAATATCTAATAATAAGTTTTATTTTCTCAGCTTTTTCCTTTGAAAGAGTAAAAAAATTTAATCCAATTATTGACTCTTTCTCTATCTCTCTTTGATTCCATCTACAATCAGCAATGTCATTGATTACATTCCCAAATTATCCTTTGTTTCTTTTGTTTCTGTATGTTTCTGTGTTTTCTGGGAATTTATTAGCTCTCTGTTTGTTTTTTTGTTTTCTTTTTACATTTTAATCTTTTTAAAAACCAATAAAATTTTATTGGTTTTTAAGCTACAAAATTTATTTATCTGTAAATTGGGTGACACTCATGTCTCTCTTGATTATTATTAAGAGAGAGAGAGAGCAACACGGCAGAGACTTTTTGGGTTTAGTCGGTTTTGAGAGAATCAAATCAATTAGGTCTAGAGACAGAAAATAAAGGTCGACCAATCTTATAGAAAATACAGATTAACAATTTCTTTAATGACAGGTCCCACAGTCTAATTGTATATGATGGCTAAGATTATTTTCTATGATTAGTTAGTTCTGTGTCCTTGGAGAGCTTGCTTGTTAATGGTTATCAATATATTTGTGTGAGTGTGTTTATACACTTTTACATATCAAATGGGGTGAATGAAAGTTGGGTATCATGATGTTTACTAAAAGTTTGACAGTTAAAGGTCTCTTTCATCACATTTATAGAATTAGTTTCATAGTGATGTACGTGTGTCCTAATCTTCATGATTAAAAATTAATTTACTTGGTTTATTGGTATATTTTAAGGTTTGTTTTATAACATTTTCCATTGGTTTTTGTTCACTATTTGATGAGAGATTAATCTATAAAGATGATCCAAAAGAAAGGCTTTCGCAGATTCCATAACGTATAAGAGATTTACAAAAAAAACATCATGAGACCCAAAACCAATCATTTATTTTGAGTAACAGATGCAGATTAAATTTTTGGTACAATAATATTCGTTTGGTTTATCCGTTTCTTTGTACTACCAACTGAGTATTTGCTATTGAAGCTTGCAATTGATGTAATGCTACAAGTCACTTGGTTATTTGTATGACTCTTAATATAGGTGCTATTTATTTTGGAATGAGTAATATTTACATTGTTACCTATTAAGTTTTCAGTTAACTAGTGATGTAGCTACCCATACTAAATCTAGTATTTTACACTCTACAGTCACTGACATAGCCTGTGAACACAGTTAATGCTTACTTCTTTGATCTATTTACCTTCTATGTATTCTTTCTCAGATAGTTCACATTGCGACACCAAGTATATTATTTAGCAATATTCTTTTGTGTTAAAGTTGTTTGCAACTGTAATTTTATTGATCTCCTAAAATTTAAGTGTAGCAGCCAGGGTCACAAGATTCTATAATCCATATAAAATTGAATTGCTAGAATCAATAGATCATGACTGGTCAGGTCATCTTTGGTCTTTTTGCCTCTGCATTACGTGGATGTTATGACTTCGCATAGTTGTGTATCTCAATGGTTCTGCTAAGTGCTCAATTTAAGCTATTTGGATTGATTAATATTTGACATATGCAATTTTGATTTGCTCGTTACTGTCAAATTATTATATTTTTGTGAGTTGCCTTGTTTTGATGAGGTTTTGGTGTTCCATTGACTGTTGTTGAAGTGGAGCTAGGCTACATGTTGGTCATCCTCTTGGATACACTGCCACAGATATTCTTGCTAGAACTCATGCAGGGTTTTAATGTTTTGCACCTGATGGGATGGGATGCGTTTGGATTAGGATTTATCGATACATATCATCATTTTCAACAAAATAAAGAAAATAAAATAAAAAATCTATACAAATAAAACCAACACTAATTTTAACTGAATAATGTGTAAAAGAAAAATAATATTTGGTTTGGAATTTTCAAAAACAGTTTTTGAGTTTTTAATTTGTATATTGAGACCTTTTACTTGTTGCTTGTTTATTTGCCTGTATTATTTTTGGAGAAACTCAGTTGTCTTCAATCTTCTCTTCCAAACTAACCAGCCCAAGAACTACACTCTGGGGGGAATAAACTTTACCTATACCAATTTACTGGTTAAGAGTGGTGGCCCAGAACTTGCTTGGATGAATTTATATGTTGATGCCACCGTGAACACACCTGTGCTTGAGGCTGCCCAGAACAGATTATCAACCTGATTTGGCCTAGATACGGGAGCTGATGATAATAAAGTTTTGATCCTTAAAACCTCCACCTTTTCCAAATCATGAAGCTGCCTTCTAAACTGAAACTCCCAATCACCTGCACTTTATTTAATCACTGACATTGAGTTCAAGGACACCCCTTCATCCACAACCAATCTATATAGAATAGGAAACTCTTCTTTTAGGCTCCTGTTAACACACCATCTGTCAGACGAGAATTTTATTCTATGGCCATCCCCAACTCTTATTTGACAATTATCTAAGTAAAACCTCAGTAGGATATTACTTTGGTTTGCAATGGACACAATGTCATTTCACACTCTGGAGAAATTGTTTGTGAAGTCTATATTTGGCATCCAACCACCCACCTCCAATTTGTATTTGCTGCAAACAATTCTTCTACATAGGGCATCTTTCTCTACACCAAATCTCCACCACCATTTAATCAACAAGCATGTGTTAACTTCTTTCATTCTCCTTATCCCCAAACCCCCTTGTACCATACTTTTTGCAACTTCCTTCCATTGAACCAAATGTACATTCTTCTTCAACTCTAAGCCACCCCACAGAAATGTAGCTTGTAGCTTCTCTATTTCTTTAGCAACCCCATTAGGCATTTTAAAAATAGACAAATAATAAGCGGGTAAAGAAGACGTTACAGATTTAATTAGCGTAAGCCTCCCAGCTAATGAAGCCAGCCTTCTTTTCCATCCAGCTAATTTGCTCCTAATCTTCTCCAACACAGATCTCCAAGTGGCTTTTCTGCTTGGATTACCCCTAGAGGTAACCCCAGATACTGTAGGGGCAGATTCTTCACTTTGCAATTCAATAATTAAGCAAAATCATCGAAGGAATCCTCTGCTACACCCACTCCACAAACTACACTTTTGTGGTAGTTTATTTTCAGCCCAGACAATACTTCAAAGCATCTTAAAATTCTCTTTAAATTGCTAACTTCCATCACATTAGATTCACAAAAGAGAAGTGATTCATCTACAAATTGTAAGTGGTTAAGTGCAACATCATTAGATCCAATTTTCACCCCCTTAATTAAATCCTGATTATGAGTCCTTCACAGTAATACACTTAACCCTTCAACTACAATGTTAAATAAGAAGGGGCATAGGGGATCCTTTGTCTTAGGCCCCTTTGTGGACTAAATTCCTCTATTGGAGATCCATTAACAAGCATAGATAACCTTGTAGCAGTTACACATTCCTTCATCCAGTCTACCCATTTTGATCCATAGCCAAAATTTGAAAGCAATGAGAATAGGAAATCCCAATTAACTAAGTCATAGTTGTTCACCAGTTAGCTAGAAAAAGAAAAAAACTAATAGTAAATGAGAAAGACATGTCAACGAAGCAATTATGTAGTCTATTCAAATATATAAATATTTGGGGCCTCTTCAATGTTGGTGGCCTTAGACAAATGTTTTAATGGCCTGTCAATCAAGACATTACTGATTAAACACATTGCATTTGCAAAGTTGACTTTTTTTTTTTCCCCCCTAGTCTTGAAGCCGTTACTAATTAAACACATTGCATTTGCAGAGTTTGACTTTTTTTTCTTTTCTTTTTTTTTTCCTATTCTTGATTGACTCTTTTTTTATTCAATTTGTAAATACATTTGAAGGCTTTTTGGACTAAAAGTAGTCTTTGTTCTTCTAACTTTGAATGTACTATTTTGTTTTTCTTAAAAATTATATTAAATAATTGTTGTTGTTTATTGCTTTTTCTACAAGAGCATGAAGATACTTGAAACAGTGTAATACCCAAACCAAACCAAACCAAGCCTTAAACCCCATCAAATGGAGTCAGTTACGAGAATCCTTCTTCTCCACATGGCTCTATCAAAGGCCATTTTGTTAGTCAAATTAAGTAGATTCATATATCTATTTACAATGCTAGCCAACGTTAATCTAAGTCTACCCAGTCCCCTAACACTACCATTTACTGCCACTGCATCGCATCTCTTCACTACTGCCTTTGTTGGTTTCCGTTGAATATGATCAAATCATCTCAATCGATTCTCTCTCAACTTATCTTCTATCAGTGCTACTCCTACCTATTCTCGAATACACTCATTCCTAATTCTATCTTCTCTAGACTTGCCACACATCCACCTTAACATCCTCATCTCAGCAACACTCATCTTATCTATATGTTGTTTATTGGTTGCCCAACATTCCGTCCTATACAACATCGCTGGTTTAATAGCCGTTCTATAGAACTTACCTTTTAGTTTAGTGGGTATTCGTTTATCGCATAGTACCCCAGACGCACTTCTCTACTTAAGTCATCCCGCCTTAATACTATGGGCCACATCCGCATCAATCTCCTCAGTCGTTGTAATAATCGACCCTAAATAACGAAAATGTTCACTCTTAGACAGTTCTTAGTTCTCAATCTTCACTTCTCCTCTGCTTTCATTATTACTGTTACTAAATTTACGCTTCATGCCTATAAAAAATTATTGTTCTTCTGTTTTTGGGGTCTTTGATTTATTTGGATATTCAAGCCCCATCAAAGATGTAAACCTTAATCTACAGTTGAAATCTTATACTACAATGCACTCTAAATGTGATTGTAAACTACTGTTGACTATAATCTCCATTGTCAATTTATGCAATTTAGTTGAATTTGAACTCTTAAACTTAGAATTTAATTTTCTTTCCCTCTTTAGAAGAACCATTAAACTGTAGTTAGACATGTGATTACCTGAGATGGGGCTCCAACCATATGATCTAGTTAGCCATGCCATTTTCTTGGAATGGTACCTCAAGGTGGAACTTGTAGAGCTCGTGTACAAAGTCAACAAAATCATAAGGATATGTGATGCAAAAGCTTTTTAAAAATTGAGAAATAAACAAAAACCTTCAATGAGCACAGGCTAAGACATAGAAGGTAAGTTAAATTTAGCACACTAACAATGATAAACACAAGCAAATTAATAAAGAAAATAAAAAAAATAAAAAAATCATCTGGCTTGAAATAGAGTGATGATAGGATTACCCCCAACATTCATGACAAATAACACATCTCACCGCACATCAAACTAGCAAATACATCCATCCTAATTTTCCATTAAATAATAAAAAAAATATCAAAATTACTTGATTCCAGAAAAACCTATTTTCATTCAAAACCCTCAAACTTCAAAGACACTAAGACTGACTATTTACTTCTTCTTTTTCTTTTTTCTTTTTCTTTTTCTTTTTCTTTTTTCTTTCCCCTTATTCTTTGTTGTTTCTTGCTTTTTCAACAAGAGCATGAAGATACATGAAATAGAGAAATGCCTTTAAAAAATTATTGTTCTTTTGTTTTTGGGGTTTTTGATTTATTGATTCATTCCAAACTAGTATTTATATGGGTTTATGTGTGGTATGTATGGTTATGCTACTACACCCCTTTTGGGACGTGTACCATATGCAAATTATAACATTTGGCCTAATTTCCAAAGGATTTACACTCTAACCTATATCCTGATTAACATGCTATATACTTACTAGAGCTCTATAACCCCTCATGTATAATTGTAATTATTTCATATTTTTCCATCAGTAATGGTGCCCTTTCATATATACTATTTCCCCACCACCTCATTAACTCTTTTACAAATAACAACTTCATTCTGGAATTTGTCAAGTTTTGGCATGTTCTTTTATGTCTTTTAATTTTTCCCCCCCTCTTAGTTTTGCATATTGGTTGAAATGCTTGATTCCTTATTTTTGGCAAGTAAAAGGAGAGCCCAATACCACTTACATCTAAAGCTTATATTTCGAGCGATAGAGTACACTACAGCTATTGACGTCTGGTCTGCTGGTTGAGTTGTTGCTGAACTACTTCTCGGACAAGTACATATTTTGTCCTACAAGGTCCTCTAAGCTTCAATATATCTAAATTATATGGTATGCATGTTGGCCAAATTAAAAAGCAAAATCTTTATGATATAACTTGTACAATCACACCCTCATTCATCACAGTTTTTGTATTAAAAAAAACTGAGATTAAAAGTTCAAGGTCACAGTTAAAAATTATGACCTTTAACCAATTTTGTAGTGCTCATATATTAGTATTATGTATTATGAATCTTGTTAGAATTTACCATAAACCTACCACCACTACCACCTCACCTACTCCACTAAACCTAACCCACTACACCACTACCACCTCCATTTCACCTACTCTCCACCTACTCCCAAACACACTCCTATATAATAGGAATCCTTGTAATTGTAATAAATACAACACAACATATATCAATCAATAATACAGTATTTTTTTTGACAAATCTAAAGTATCAATGATAGAATAAATGTAAATAATAAAATCAAATAATAAGAATAGTGTTAATATAAGAGAAGCTCTATTCACAGCCCAAGATTCACTTGTGAGTAGCGGTGGGTTATAGCAGTAAGCAAGGGTCCTGAAAGTCACACCCTTCAACTTCTCCGACCTCAAAAGACCTTTATTGTATATATTAATCGTTTTATATATATTTTGTACACTAACTAGTGTATGCCCGTGCCTAAAGGCAAGGTGTAAATAACGTTTTGTTTGAATAATTTTCATTTATCACTCTCTCTTAAGTTAGGAATATTGAGAATCAAGTATACCTAAAATTTTGTTTCCCCATGACACAAAAAATGAATAGATAGCATGCATTGAGCAAGAGGATCCCTTTTATTATAGACACAACTTCAAAATAAGACAGCTCTCCCGTAAATAGCCTACTATCAATTAAAATAAACAAATAAATAAAAAAGCACACCCGCCAGTGCCCTGCTATAAATTAAAATCAAACAAATAAATAAGCACACCCACCAATGTCCTGCTATCAATTCAAAGCAAATAAATTCAAAAACACATAAGCAAGCATCAATTAAAATGAAACAAATAAATAAAATAGCACACCCACTAGTGCCCTGCTATTAATTCAAAAAAAAAAAAAAAAGGCAGTACACCCGCAAGTAATTTATTATCAATTAAAATAAACAAATTAAAAAAAAAAGCACACCTGTTAGTGCCCTGCAATTAATTAAAAGCAAATAAATTAAAAAGCAAACCTGCTAATGCAACCGCTAGGGAGGAAGGGATGCAGGAGGTATAGCTTTACTTCTACATTAAGATGGAGAAATTGAGGACCTATGACAAAACATTGAAACAAAATTAGTAAAGAAGACAATACTTAAGGAAAATAATGATTATGGGGAGAAAATAAAGAATCTATGTACAAAAAATATTATTTTCCACATCTTTTGGCATTAACAAACTGCAAAAGCAATAACAGAGATGAAAGTCTACTACCTTTGTTCAAAGTATCAATAACCATTACATAAATAAACACTTAAACATATGTACCACAGCCAACCGTTTGGCCACTTCAACAAAAAATTAAATAAAAATATATACAAAAATAAAAAATAAAAAAAATATTTGATTGGATGAACTATTGGATTATTTGATAGATCATAACTCGGTTAATTTTCTAGTAGTTTCCTATGTCAAAGGTGAAGCTGAGTAGCTTCTAAATGGACGGACTGTTGAATTATTTTTTGAAAACTTTGTATCCGACCTATTGAACTATTGGACTACTGGATTTGGATTATTTCTGATCTTGATAGAACCTTTATGTTGTGTTTGGATCATGGATATGAGTAGAGATTTGAAAAGAAACTGGGAAATGGTGGGTGAAATGTCAATGAACTATAATTACATTCGACACACCTTTTGTCTTTCCCTTTCCAAATCCCTGGCTAAGTCCATGATCCAAACATAACATTAAGGAAATATGATGGTTTCAACATCATAGAAAGCAAAGCACATTCACGTAATTTTCTTCTTCTTTTATGCTAGTTTATTATTTTCCAAAAAAATTTAAAATAAAATAAAAATGTGGTAGTGTATTTTCCAAATGATTTGAGCCAGCATCAATCCATATGTCATAGTTACATGAAGCTATATATCATATAGTGAGTAATTATAAATGATAGCAACTAAACTATGGCTTTGGATATAATTCTTGCTTAACATAAATGATTTGTATGTAGAAAAGTTCCTAGAATTTGAATGTTAGGTATAGATTTAACTTGATGTGATATGGACCACACCCTATATCAATCTCATCCACCCATTTAAAATTCTATACATTTTTCTAAGTATTTTTTCTGGCTTAAAAAGCATAACTTCGTTTCATTCCTAGTAATTTTCTATGTCAAAGAGGTAGATGCATTGCTTTTAATTAGGTTGACTATGTGATTGTTGTTATTGAATTTTCTGATCTTCATAAAGCCTTTTTGGAAATCGAATGTTTTGATTTGAGCATTCCTAGTAATTTTCTATGTCAAAGAGGAAGATGAGTTGCTTTTAATTAGGTTGACTATGTGATTGTTGTTATTGGATTTTCTGATCTTCATAAAGCTTTTTTGGAAATCAGATGTTTTGATTTGAGCATCATAGATATCATATTCTTATAAAATTCCAGAATTTTATTATGAAGATCATTGATGATGCTAATAATGACAGCTAATAAAATTGTTAAATTCTAATATTTTGCAAAATATATTCTGAAACTTTTTTTTGTTGTTATGTATTCAATTTTCTCTTCTCCAGTAATGTGATTTACATTTTATCACTATTCTATAAATTCTTCATCTCTTACTCTTCATTCGGGACAACAGAAAGCCATTGGATTTTTTAATATTATACATTGGGTGTGTTGCGGATGTTGGTATAATAAAGAATATTTTTTTCTAAATTTATATAGAAAGTCATTGGTTTTTCCATTCATTATGTGTTACATTTAGTTGAATGTTACGTAGACCCCTACTCAATCTGATGGAATTCCAAACAAATATAAAATTAATATTAAAATAATATGTGGATAGATAATGCAATAACAGCATCCAATCATGAGAAGAATTGTATATCAATCAAATAAAAATCCTCAAATGCAGACGTAAAATATGCAACTATTAATCCAAAAGGGGAATATTACATTCAAACATAACCCAAAAACACCAATATTAGAAGTATAACATAACAAGAAACGAAAAATTATAAACATAAACAAATTTCAACAAATAAATAAGAAATTGCAGTCTCATATCAGTTACATGAGTACAAAATTCAATTAACCACACATCAGATTTCACAAACCCAAGCCAAATTTGAACTATATATCTATATATATGGAATCAAAACAACTACCAAATCAAACAAACATCAAAAACAAAAGCTATTCGTATCATATTTTCCTAAATTTAGAAACCAACCACTCCAAGTGAGGCAGTTTTGAAGAAAGGGAAAAAAGAATCGGGAAAGGAAATAAGGTTAACAAAAGGGAATTTTGGTCTAAGGTTTCATAGAATACGGTTGAAGAAAGGCGAGAGAAACGAGTTGCAAAGAGAGACGTAGTGAGAGTTTCATACCTTTAGGCAAAGTTTTTACATGTAGAAAATAGATATGGAACAATCAATAAAAAAGATGCACTTCGCGGGATGGTCTTCTAGGGCGGACAAGACCGCGGAGTTGTGTCTGAAAACGGGACAGTTTCGGACCAAATAACATGAGGGTTTTGGCAAAACAATGTGAGCCTTTGTGGGGAGGGAGGAAGCATAATCAGTAAAAGGGAAACAAAAAAAAAGTAACCGGTTGAGAAGGTATTCAATTTTTTTAATTAAATTATGGTTCAGATTAATTTATAGATATCTAATAGTTTAAAAGTAAGGTGTACATGACATGTACATTTAATGAGGTGCACAATCCTTAATACTCTGATAATTGAACATAAAGTCATTCAGAGAGAAGACTTTCAAATGTTTATTGGATTTAAATCATATAGGCACATTTGAAATAATTCTTTCCTGAACCTTGATCCAATGTGGATGACCATCATTACACAAACATCCATTTCTCACTTTCCACAGTTCCCAGAAAATTGCTAAAGGTATCTTATATATAACAATTCTTGTGTCTTCTTGGATTTTTAAATAAATCAATTAGTTCCATGAAATAAGTTGGCTCTACAAGAACAAATATTAACCATTCCAAATTGAATTGCATCAACTTCTCTGAATGCATCTTGATGAACTTACATTATCCAATTTTTGTCTGTGAGCTTGTGAACTATAAAACCTTAATGGGTTTATACAGAAACATCAAAATATCCATTTGTTTCTCACTTTCCACAATTCCCAGAAAATTGCTAAAGGTAATACATCCCAAGCTACTTTAATTTTATTTCTCATAGGAAAATCAAGCCACCACAAGAGTAATTGTTAGAAAAATAAACAGATTTCAATAAACAAATAAAAAATTACAGTCTCATATCAGTTACATTACATGAGTACAAAATTCAATTACCCACACATCAGATTTCACACACTCAAGCCAAATTTCAAGTGTATATATATACATATAGAATCAAACAACTACCAAAGCAAACAAACATAAAAACCTAAACCTATTCAAATCATATTTTCCTAATTTTATAAACCAACGCAGTGAGTTCACAGAGGTGAAAGGGGCAGTTTCGAAGAAGGGGATTTCGGTCTAGGGTTTCATAGAATGGATATGGAGAAAGGGAGAGAAACAAGTTGCAGAGCGAGTGAGAGAGAGAGACAAACCTTGAGGCATGTAGCTAACTAAAACGAGGAGGAAAAGAAAAGGGCAGCGGAATAAACTCACTCTTCGGTGCTTGGCGCGGAGGAGCTCCGGCGAGAACCTGTAGAGATCTTCGTTAACAGCTTTGAGAGCTTTTCTCCGTGGCGGAGGATGCGGCGGCGAAAGCAAAACAGGTCTCGGCGGTGGCAATGGGCAGCGGCGACGACAGAGAGAGAGAGTAATTTCTGAAAACGTTTGGGCTGAAGAAGGCATCTACGGATTTCTCAAAAAACAATTAAGGAGGAATTTTGATTTTGACAAAATTTGGATGTTTGTTTCAAATTTTTGGACAAAATTATTTGGGTTGGGTTGGGGAAATAATTAATATGGGAATTTTGATTTTGGTAGAATTTGGATGATTGTTTCAAATTTTTGGAATAAAAATATTCATGAATAGAGTTTTATAATAAAATAAAGGGAAATTGACCAGTAAATCCCATTTTGTGGACTTGTAATCCATGAGATCCTAAATGTTTTCTTGGTGACTGAATGGTCCCTTAATTTGTTTGTTGACTATTTTGCCACTACTAGTATTATTGGTTGATTGGCGTGGGTTGTATAGAGAAGGTGAACGAGTGTTTGTGTGTCACGTTGATCGGAAAAGTACACTAATACCTTTTTCTAATTTAGTAGGTTTGTAACACGCGTAGAAGTGAAACGTGATAACGTCATAGTGTTGTTTCGTACGTGACGTGAATACGCAAAACAAAACTCACTGAAATGGTTTCGAATTTCTATTCAAGTTCACATTTCTAAATCATGAGATGAAATTCAATTCCCAGATCTGGTGATGCCGACGTGGTACACCAAAATCAAAGTTCATACAATCTGTGAAAAATCCAAATCAGACGATGCCGACGTGGTTTGCATTTCTGAAGTTCGCATTTCTACGGCATCGACTGTTCGCATATTCAAAATACAGTCTGTTCATACAATATGCGAACTCATGATTTCAGATTTTGTAAAAAGTTCACATTTTTAGATTTAAAGTTCACAGATTTGTATTTTTAAAACTTGAATATGTGAAAAATCCAAATCAGACGATGCCGACGTGGTACACCAAAATCGACGACATAATTTCAGAAACCAAAGTTCGCATTTGTAGAAATGCAATTCCCAGATCTGACGATGCCGACGTGGTACACCGGCCTGCCGGATTGAAACGGATCCCTCTGTTGTGGTACACCGGCCTGAAAAACGGATCCCTCTGTTCTCAAACACACTGAAAAACGGATCCCTCTGTTGTGGTACACCGGCCTGCCGGATTGAAAACCCTAACCCAAGCCCAACCACGATCATCAAAAAAAGCTCAACAATCACAATCATTATCAACCCTAACCATACCATGTCTCTGAACATGAAAACCCTAACCCAAGCCCTAGCGAAGACCGCCGCGATCATCGAAAAAACCGTATAGACCACGGTCCACGAAGTCACCGGAGCCAAACCCCTTCAAGACTATGACCTCCTCGACCAGATCGGCTCCGCCAGTCCAGGCCTCGTCTGGAAGCTCTACTCCGCCAAAGCTCGCTCTGGATCGGCTCTCTCCCACCAGTACCCCACCGTCTTGAGGACTCATTTTTCGACGTTGTTCGAGCCGATGCGACGCGGCTCGTGAGGTTGAGGCACCCTGGTAGTTCATAACGGGCCATAATTGATGTGAGGGCATATTTGTCCCCCACATAATAATGTAATTTAAAAAAGGAGTTATCAGTAAGATATCTCTACTATCATGGACTGCCTAATCAAACAAAATATTCATGGGACCAAATGGAATACAATTTCATTTGGAATAAAAATATTCATGAATAGAGTTTTATAATAAAATAAACTATTAATTTATATTTCAATTGTTTTTTTTTTTAATATAAATTTTTCATCTATTTTTATTAAGTAAAATTAATAAAAAAAAAAAGTATTTTACTTATCAATCACAAAATATATAACCATACTAATTAAGTCACAAAAGTTTTAGAAATCACAAATATCGTAATTAAGTCACAAAATTTTGTAATATAAAACACAAAATAAAATACATAATGCCATTACTAATTGACGTAACAAAATTATTTAAAATTATAAAAAATCACAAATATTGTAACTAAGTTCACAAATATTCATCTTTTTTTCTTTTTTTTTTTTTGCTGTTAAAAAAAAATGTTCCAAAATTTCGTAACAATAACCAAAAATTATGTGACTATCCACTAATTGGTGTAACAAAAACATATAAATTTTTTAAAAATCACAAATGTCATAACCAACTCACAAAATTAATAACATCGAGTACAAAATGCGTTGCTGCATCACTAATTGGCATAATAAAAATAATCAAAAAATTTACAAATTACAAATGTCACAACCAACTCATAAAATTTCATAACATCAATCACAAAATGAATAACAATCCAACTAATTGATGTAGCAAAAATATTTAATTTTTTTATAGACCACAAATATCATAATCAGGCAACAAAGTTTCAAAACAATTATCATAAAATGACTAACAAATCACTAAAAATCCTAGAATCACCAACCGAGATCTCTCATGATACTGAGAAAACAAAATGTAATGAAAATTATTAAATAATTTAATCAACGACTTAAAGCCATGAAACAGAAAACGAGAGTTAGAGAAGTTTAACCAGTAAAGCGAGATGAAATGAAATATGAGAAAGAGAGACTGGACGGGCTTATCGCCTGTGAAAATGACATCAAAGGTGGTGTCGTTTCCGATAAGGAACATCAAAAACATCTACAGTGACAATAAGGAACGATAGAAATGCTTGAGGGATAAAAAGGATTGAGATAGCATAACCGTACAACAAAATGCGTAATATTCATTTTTCAATAGTTCTATGATACGTGTACAAATTGATAATAACAAGACCTTTCAAATTATAATTACAGCCAAAGGTTTGTGTATGTATGACATATTAATGTGAAAGAGCTAGAGTTTCAAGATAAATGTACTTAGTAGATAGAGAAATATCATCATAATGAATAGTGTTGAAATAGACAGAGAGAGTAGTGACGAGTTCAAGGATCTATTGCAAAGACACAGGAGTAAAGAGAGGAATAATCTAGTGAGGAAGAACTATCAACGATGGTCGTTCGATAATTTGAGCAACATAGAGAAGTCTGAGTAAGAAATAAAGAGAGCTCAGGCACAACTAGGACAAATCAAGGAAAAGAAAATAAAGTAGAGAAAAAAAGGAAGAAAAGTTGGGGAAAAAATTTGGGAGAAAAATGATTTAGTAGAACAAAATAAAATAAAGTCATAGATAATTTTTTCCAACATATTTTTTATTAAAATTTAGTTAAATTATATATATATGTCTATAAGTGTATATAGATATTTTAAAAAGTGTATCGTTTGTATATTATTATTTCTATTATATTTAATGAAGATACTATGACTAAAAATAAATCTAAAATAGAGATAGGTGATCAATTGCAATTATCACTTAGAGATGACACTTCAAAATTAATTGAAAGAGAGATTTGTTTGTGAGAATAAAATGAGAGAGTGGTGGTATTTGTAAGACTTGGGAGGGAGGGGTTAATTTATATATATAAAAATAAAAAACATAAATTTAGCTATTAGTGGAATTAACGGTTATATGACTGTTTTAAATTATTATTTTTTTAAATTTTTGACAGTTGCATTGACAGGGGGCAGGGAGCCATTGAGGTTGGGTCGGGCCAAATGGGGAAAAAAATTTCAGATCAAGCTCACGGGATGGGTCGCACTTCATAACACACTCGGACAAGGCCAGGCTCTAGAACACATAGCCCAAGGTCTCGGGTTAGGCTTAAGCTCGGGCCTGGGTGGGCCCACCCAGGGTGCAAGCAAACTCGGGTGTGCTACGAGCTCATGGGCCAAATTTACACCCCTATATATGGGTAGTGGTTATGAGATATGTGATTAGTGGTTATGATATATGTGATGTTGGTTATGATCAAAGTGGTATGGTTATGAGCCAAATGATATTGTTTATGAGATATATAGGTAGTGGTTATGAGATATGTGACATTAGTTATGATAAAAATGGTGTGATTATGAGTCAAAGGGTGTTGATTATGAGATATGTGATTAGTGGTTATGATATATGTGATGTTGGTTATGAGGCAAATGGTGTTGGTTATGAGATGTGGTTATAACATATGTGGGTAAAGGTTATGAGATATATGATTAGTGATTATGAAATATGTGATTTTGGTTATGAATAAAGTGGTGCAGTTATAAGTCAAAGGGTGTTTGGTTATGAGATATGTAATGTTAATTATGATGTGGTTATGAGATATGTGATTTGTAGTTATGATATATGTGATGTTGGTTATAAGATATATGGGTAATGGTTATGAGATATTTCATTAGTAATTATAAGATATGTGATTTTGATTATGAGCAAAGTAGTGTGGTTATGAGTAAAAAAATGTTTGGTTATGCTATATGTATTAGTGGTTATGAGATATTGATTATGATCAAAGTGGTGTGGTTATAAGCAAAATGTTGTTAGTTATGAGATATATGACTAATGGTTATGAGATATGTGACTAGTGGTTATGACTCAAAAGGGTTGGTTATGGGATGTGGTTATGATTTATGTGGATAGTAGTTATGAGCTATGTGATAAATGGTTATGAGATATGTGATATTGGTTATGATCAAAGGGATGTGATTATGAGCCAAAGGGTACTGGTTATGAGATATGTGATTATGATTGTGAAATATGTCATATTAGGTATGAACAAAATGATGTTGGTTATGAGACGTCACTACTACAAAAATAAATAAAGATCACACTTTTTTTGTGTGATGTTTGTTATTTAATCACACCTTTTTAGTTTTATTAAAGTGTGATCTTTGGGAGTGTGATTAAAAGGGGTCATTTTTAATCACACATTTTAAGTGTGATTAATAACATTTAGATCACACCTTTTAAGTATGATTAAAA